AATCAATGGCACCCTTAAATTCTGTGAAATAACAATAAGTTATCTAAAAATAAGTTGTCTATCAACTTAAAAACTAATACAGGTAAAGAGAGTCTAGAACTACAGCCAAGATTTTTTTTAATATCTCCATCAGCAAAATCATTTATATGTTTTGTTGTTTTTGACCTGTAGTTTTTAAAGTCAGGTTTATTGAGGAGTATACCTATGTGATTCACCCTTTTTAGGTATACAATTCTGTGAGTTTTGACAAAGGGATACTGTCAGATAACTACCACCACATTCAAGATATAGAATATTTCCATCACCCCAAAAAGTTGCTTCACTTACCTTTCTACTCAATCCCCTCCCTTCACCCCCAGTCTCTGGCAACCACTGATCTGATTTCTGTCCCTGTAGTTTTGCCGTTTCTAGATGTCATATAAATGAAATCATTTATGTATGCTTTGGGGTCTGATTTCTTTTACTTAATGCTTTTAGATTTGGCCATATTGTTGCATGTACAGTTAGTACTTCTTTTTCTTGCCTTATTGCACTGGGTACAGTCACCAGTACAATGTTGAGCAGAAGTGCAAAAAGCATACATTCTTGCTTTTTTCCTCACCTAGGTAGAAAGCATTCATTATTTTACCGTTAAGTATATTAGCTATAGGTTTTTCATAGATGACCTTTATCAAGTTAAAGATATTCCCTATATTTCTAGTTTGCTGAGAGTTTTTATAAGAAATGGATATTAGATTTTGCCAAATGCTTTTTCTGTATCTACCAAGATGATCATACGGTTTTTCTTTTATTTCTTTTTTTTTGGCCTATTAAAATTATGAATTACATAGATTGATTTTCTAATGTTGAACCAACTTTGCATTCTTGGGATTAATTCTAGTTGGTCATGATATATTATCCTTTTTATAGTTTCTTAAGTGGAATCTTAGTTTATTTATTTGAAACCTTCCTTGTTTTCTAATATAAACTTTTAATGCTATAGATATCCTTCTAACCACTGTTTTAGCTGCATTCCACAAATTTTGATATGCTCTGTTTTCACTTTTTTAGTTCAGAATATTTTCTAATTTACCTTTGAGTATAGGATTATTTAAAATATGTTGTTTAATTTCCAAATACTTAGGAATTTTCCCGTGTCTTTCTAATACTGATTTCTACCTCAATTCCATTGTATTCAGAGAACATACATTGTATAATTTTAATTCTTTAAAATTAGTGGAAGTTTGTTTAATGGCCCAGAATATGGTCTGTCTTAGTGAATAGCACATACACACTTGAAAAGGGTGTGTAATCTGCTGTTGTTAAAGGGAGTGTTCTATAAATGTCAGGTCAAGTTAATTGATAGTCTAAGATTTGTTTTTATTTTTACTACTTTTATCATTTGTGGAGAAATTTCTTATACAGTAGTAGTCTTTAGATGTGGTACTGTTTC